GTAAACTCTACCATGTTCTTTCATGGAAAACCTTAATATCGTAGAAACATAAATTCCCTCAACATTGGTATATACATTTGATCCAATTAAAAAAATATATTAAAAAACCAACTAAACTCATTGCTGTTGAGTTGGATCCAACTCATGACGACCCCCCCCCTTGGGTTTCTGAGGCGGTATCACTCTGGAAATAGATTGCCCAGTCTTCCTTCCGAGGAGTGGTTGGTGAGTTTGAACTGCCACCCTTCTGGTTGGCAGTCAAATGCCTTAGGCACTACGCCACCAGAGGTCCAATTCTGGGTTAAACATAATTAAAATGTAATTAAAAATATATACCATTTTAATTATATAAAATGATAATATAATTCACGTGAAAGAAACACATGTCTAAAAATGGCAAAAAATACAATACTTAAAGGAAGAAAAGGTCTTACTTTGACTTACAGATACCAAAACATACTGTAAATTCACTAACCCCCAGCAGTGTGGTATGTATAATGCAGGGATTGGGAGCACATTTCCACCCAAGACAGGAAACCCAGAATCTAAAAGAAAAAAAGTACATTAAAAAACCTTAACTTCATCCAATTAACTGTTTATTTCAGGTATTTTTTGATTCTAGAATTCCCATTTGCTTCTTTTTGTGTTCTATTTCTCTGTTGAGGTTTTCTATTTAATCATTCATTATTAGCATATTTTCCTTTATGTCTATGAGCATAGTTAATAAGTGTTTTCAAATTCTTGTCTGATGATTCCAACTTCCGTATCATCTTGGAGTTAGTCTCCATTGATTACCTTTCCTCTCAGAACATTTTAATAAAGTTAAATCAGTCAACAAATACCTATAAGCTTTCTAGTATGTGCCAGAAAAGGTGTTAGGCTCTGTTAGTTAAATGGAAGAAAAATATCTTGCCTCCGCCAGGTTGTTTCTCTTATAATGGTTTGCATTTTCAGAATAACATAACCATGTTGATTCGACATGGTGTTTTCAAGCTTAATCCTAAATAGTGTAGTACTTAACTGTTTTTGTACTACAAAATAGATGTTCATTTGAGAAAATTTAAGTTCCACTTGCTATCCCCCTTAACATTTCTGTGTCTTTTTTCAATGCATAGGTTTGTTTTTTTAAAATAGTTGAAATGAATTTTGTCTTTATAATTTGTATCTTGCTTTCTTAACATGGGATTTGCCTATTATATAATGCTACTATATCAATATCCTTTTACTCAAATAGATATACCATAGTAAACTGTCATTCATCTATAATTAGAGATTTGGGTTTTCAAAATTTTTCTCTTATAAGTGACAGTTTTATTCAGCAGTTTTATTTGCATTTTTTGTATGATTTTTTTTCCCTTGTATTTAGGATTTTTACTGAAACTAGATTACTACAAATGGAATTATGGAGTCAAAGATTATAGTGTCTTATTAGCTGCAGGGATCCAGGTGAGGAGAGGTGCAAAAAGGACAAGGAGGCCACATATTCTGACCTCCTAGAACCCCACAAGAGGAAGGCAGAATCACCATCAATAGCCCAAGGCCTATTACTGCAAG